ATTATTCCTTAATTTTAATTATTAGAAGGATAAAATTTAATTAGTAAAAAATATATGTTCAATTAATTAATGCATTTCTAAAAAGAGAAAAAAACAATTTTTTATTTGGATTCTTTTTATTAAATAAATTTATCGTTACCTATCCAATATAATCCCGTATAAATTTAGGTCGTATTTTTGGATATAATAGTGCCCACTTAAGGTACAGAGGTCATAATTAAGAGCAAAAATCAATATTAATTACGAGAAAATGACTTTTCGATCCAGTTAAATAACTATTTAACTTAAAAGTGAAATTAATAGACTACCATAAATTTAATTATATTAATATTTTAACAATATTCGGGTAGGAATATATATATATATATATATATATATATATATATATATATATTTGAAAAGTAACATTTTTAAAAAATCAAATAAAATGGTTAAACATCATTTTTCATAATAATTAGAGTAAAGATAATTAAAAAAAAAAAAAAAAAAAATTTAAAAGTCATTTTGGGTCAATTCACCATCTAGGCCAGTGAGCCCAACGTTCTCGCTAGCACACCACTCGATATTTGACCCTGATACATTTGTAATAGCATGAGCCATGATGGTAGATATTGTCTGCTTTGGCCTATTACACATCAAAGTTTTACAGTTTCAAAACTCGTCTATTTTGGAAAGATTTCTACCCTTTATAAGAAACGTTGTTATCCTCTCCGACGTCTGACAATTGAACGAACATTTTCGTTAAATAAATTTAGGGTTTTTCAAAACATTCCCAAGTTAACCAAACCATAGAAGAGAAAAGCTTCTTTGCTTAGCTCCCAAGGCAAAATCAGTGATATTCCTAACCCATTTGCACCAAAATGGCACCATCTTTGAACCCTTTTGTAGTTCCTTTAAAGCACTTTCTTGGGTGAGTCTTCATAAGAGGCCCCCATCCATCCTCCTCCTGCAATGAACTAATACTCACAATGGCCCTTATCACGAGCCCTCCTCCTCAAGCTCTCACCTTGGGCTCCCAACCATTTAGAACATTTGCATATACATCCATCCCTAAGAGACCCTCATATTTGTTTCAACAAAAGAAGCTTAGGAAAACAAGCTACACATTAGCCACCGACGTTAAGCCCCGTTTCGTGTCGTCGTGCTTAAAGGACGGCTCGGTTTGTAGCTTAGATTCATGTTCAAATTCTCCATCAGAAATGGTTAAGAAATTGTACGAGTGCATCAATGAAAAGAAGTTGAAGGAGTTGAGTAGTTACATGTCAGAAGATTGCCTTATTGAGGACTCCTTGTTTGATGAAGCATTTATAGGGAAGGAGGTATTTTTGTGTTCTCATTCATAATACTATGAATGTAGAGAAGAAATCTGTTATTGATTGTCCATGGAACCTACTTGCAGGCTGCTCTCAAGTTCTTTAAAGAACTAACTCAAAGTATGGGTCCGGATGTGAAGTTTAGGTTTCGTAACGTCTATGAAAGTGGCGCTTCTCGGGCTGGAGTAACCTGGCATCTAGGTACTTCTGTCTATCATTAGAGATGTCTATTTAGAATCCACGTTTAAATGGAGAATAGAAGAGAGAGTTGGGAGAGATTTTTTGACGTAAGTGAAACGGGCAGGGACGGAGATTACATTCTCGTCCCTGTTTTTGGCCTTGGCCTTACCTTGCCTGCGGTGGGGACAGAGACAGAGATTACATTCTCGTTCGTGTTTTTGGCTTTGGTCTTGCCTGTGGTGGGGGACAGGGACAGAGGTTACATTCTTGTCCCTATTCTTTGCCTCGGCCTTGCTCGTGATGAGGACAGGGATGAAGATTACATTTTCATCCTTGTTTTCGCGAGCAAGGACGGGGATTACATTCTCATCCCTGTTTTTGACCTCGGTCTCGCCCGTGGTGGAGGCAGGGATGGAGATTACATTCTCATCCTTGATTTTGGCCTCGGCCTCGCCTACGGTGGGGACAGGGACGGAGATTACATTCTCATCCCTGTTCTTGGTTTTGGCCTCGCCCACAGTGGGGATAGGGATGGAGATTACATTCTCTTCCTTGTTTTTGGCATAGGCCTCGCCTGCAGTGGGGACAGGGACGGAGATTACACTATTGTCCCTGTTCTTGGCCTCGACCTTGCCCCCAGTGGGAACAGGGACGAAGATTTCATTCTCGTCCATGTTCTTGGCCTCGGCCTCGCTCGCAGTGGAGACAGGGATGGAGATTACATTCTCGTCCCTGTTTTTGGCCTTGGCCTCGCCTGTAGTGGGGACAGGGGCGGAGATTACATTTTTGTCCCTATTTTTTTCCTCGGCCTCACCCGCGGTGAAGACAAGGATGAAAATTATATTCTCGTCTCCATGCTTGCCCTTAGCCTCACTCGTGTGGGGACAGGGACGGAGGTTACATTCTCCTCCTTGTTCTTGGCCTCGACCTCACCTGCAATGGGGACAGGGACAAAAATTACATTCTTATCCCTGTTCTTGGCCTCCACCTCGTCTGCAATGGGGACTAGGACGAAGATTACATTCTCGTCTCTGTTCTTAGCCTCGGTCTCACCCACAATGGGGACAGGGACAGGGACAAGGACGTGAAGACTTCCCTATTCCCACCTCACCCATGAGCATCTCTACTACCATCATCCCTCCAACTCTTACGATTCTAATAGATCAACAAACTTGGTCATCCTCGAACAGTGTGGAAGAACACAAAGATCCCCTTCACCAAAGGTTGCACCTTCATACACATCAACAACGAACAAAGAACCATACAGTAAACCAACCAACACACAAACTCAATACCTATCTCAACCAATTACCCGCTATCTTACATGCAACTCTCTTGCAGGAAGGCACAAATCATAATAGAACCACAAGTAAAAGCGGGGCATCTCATCTTGGTGAGTACACACAACTCATAACTCCCACCAATTTCAACACATAAAATGAGTATAATCCATACAAATTGTGTACACAAATCATCAGGGTATGATGAAGCTGGTAACCTCCTTGCTTGCTCAGTATCCAGCAATTCATAAATGTAAGTCATTTTGGATACCTTAAGCCATAGAACTTGATGAACAAACATGACATTATGTGTCTTGCAGGGGTGATGAAACTTTCCCAGCAGCGTTGGGTAAGGTGGGTGGCCAAGATCTGCGTACTTCTCTACAACTTCTTCTTGCACAGCCTCTTGCGGAGCTATCTAACCTTTATACATTGTGCCTCTCTAATGTTTGTTTTTACACTCAAATTGTTACGTTGGGTTAAAGGCTTCTTCAATTAAAAATAACAATAATAAATAAATAAATTCAATTGCAAATTCTCCTTTAGGCCATCGTTCAATTATTATTATTATTATTATTATTATGGATTATTTTAATTAAAAATAATTCAAATCATATCCATATTATTCCAAACATAGCTTCGACTTTGCTACAATACAATCGCATTCATACGATTAAAATTCTAATTTCATTCCACGTTTTTTTCTTATTTATTTCAATATTAATTAATTGTACGCTAAATTACAAAAATGGGTCATAATTAGTTTATATGGTTCAAATATATTTTTTTATTATTTAATTCATGACATGATAATGATAAATAAAATGTTTAGAAGTGCTCGTAGTTGGATAAATTTAGTCGGAATATCTTTTAGACTAACTTTAATTGTTCGGGTTGTAAATTTTTTCAAACCAAATAATCTTTATTAAATAATAAACTCAACTATATATATATATATATATATATATATATATATATATATATATATATATAAATAAATTATATTTTTTTTTAAATTGAGAATAAATTTCAAAATTTAATTTTAGAAAAATTTATGAACTAACCCATTCATAAATATTTATTTGAACGTAATTCAATACAAATAAATTTATAATCCAATCGAAACTATAAATATTAAAGTTATATTCTCTAAAAAAAAATTTATAAAATTAAAGTAATAATTTAAAGAAAAATAAATAACATTAAAATATAATGAACCAATTTTTATTTTATAATCAATTTGTTAGGAATCAGACTTTCATGGTATGATATTGTCCTCTTCGAACGTAAGCTCCCATGGTTTTGCTTTGGGCTTGTCAAAAGACGTCATACCAATGGAGATACCTATAATCTTTCATTAAATTAACCAACTGGAACTCACACCCAAATAATCCTCAACACAATCAAATTGAAATAATTAAAATTAATGGATATTGAGATTTTTTTTTTCTTTTTTTTTTTCTTTTAAGATCAATGGATGCTGAAAAGAAAAAGAAAAAAAAAAAAGAAAAGAAATGCATGTTTTTAATATAATATAATAAAATTAAAAAAAAAAAAAAAGATTTAAAAGGCTCAGTGATTGGCGTAGAAGTTGGTTGGAATGGGACGACGAGTAGTGCAAGAAAGAACGACGCGTCGTCAAGAAAAGGACCTGAATTTGAAAACACACTAAATGACACGTGGCGTGTTTGTTTACCCTTCTTTTACTTGCACGTCTTCTCTTTTTAGAAACCAAGTCTTCCTTCTTCTTCTCCATTATTATTATTATTATTATTATTATTTATTTATTTATTTATTATTATTATTATTATTTTAATTTCTACTCTATACCAGGTTAACAAATTGATAAATTATAATAACTTGAATAAGATATCGACATTCTTAACATTTAGAGATATCTATTTTAATACCAGTTCGAATGGAGCGGAAAATGAAGGAGGAAGTCTGAAGAGATTTTTTTCAATTAGCTAAATGAGATCGAGGCCAAATATATATAAGCAAAAACTCACAGCTTTATATATTACTTTAAAATTTAATTATATCTATCTACTATTAAAGATTTTATATAATATATAATTTTGAAAATTCAAGAATATACGAGAATAAAATTAATAATTCAGACGTTTATTAAACATTTTTTTAGAATTGGTTGATGATTTGATACAATATGAATTAAATTTATAGCTTAACCGAGCATCCGTGTTAATAAAAAATAATTACACGAAGAGAAATATTTTTTAAAAAATAAATAATTAACCACCTATTGTTGATTATTATTAATATAATGAGAAAATTTAATTTAATTTCTGTAAACTTTGCTTCTCTTTTTAATTTCTTTCTGCAGCTCTTCCTCGCCATCCACGTCTTCCAGTTCCTGCAGCAATCCAAACGACGTCGTTTTTATTCAATTAAAAAAAAATTAGTGAGTGAAATGACGTAACTAACCTTGGGTCCTAAAAACAACCCGTACGGGACGCCGTCGAATTTGTCCGTATGATGTATCTACACCAAAAAATAAAAAATTAAAATTAACTCCCAAAATAACAAACGACATGTCGGGAATTGCTTACATGATGGGCAGCAGCGACACGTCGTAAGTAGGGGACAGCAGCTATGGGACCCACAGGGAAACGACGGTGCACGAGGCCATCGTGGACGAACATGTAGGCCATTCCAAACACTGTAATTCCCAAACCCTGCCGAATCAGAACATGACACGTCATACAAAGCTGACCTGGACTTCGACAGTTTTGACCATTTTACAAATTAATTATTTTATTATTTACAAAAAAAAAAAAAAATCAAATAATGTCGTAGAAATTAATGATGAGACATACCGCACCAAAACATAGACCGGGGACGAAGCCCTGATGGAAGAAGCCGAAAGAAAGAAGAGCAATGGCAGGCACCGCGTTGATGATTGCGAACACATCGTTCAATTCAAACGGTCCATTTCTCGCCCTATGATGAGACTAGCCTCACCCGTTCATATCAAAATGTTTAGTTTGAATCATTTACAAAATTTTAACACAAAATATATGAAAAAAAAAAAAGAATTTACTTTTTTAAATAGATCGACTAAATTAAACTAAGATCCAAAGCACATGAATTGACATAATATATAAATCAAACTTATAATACATTATTTTAGACATTACGAACACATTTAAATGTAACGCTATAACCTTGTGCATATTCCATAGCGAATCATGCCACAGCTGTTTATGTGCCCATCTCGCCCAAAATTCCATCCCCACCTGTAAAAAAAATTAATCATTTTTTAATGTTTAAAAATATTTTTTTTAATCCTTTCAAAAAAACATTTAAATACTTTTTAAAATTAAATTAATAAAAATAATTTTAAATTGGATAGTTTACTTCAAAAATACTATTAAATTTTTTAAAAATTTCAATAATACCCTTAAACTAAAAAAATTATAGTTCCGATTATTACTTTATTTCAAAAATGTCAAAAATACCCTTCTAAAAATATTCAAAAATACTTTTATGTTAAAAAAACGACACTAACACCCATTACCTTTAATGTTACTTTTTAATTTGTATTTATGAAACTTTTAAAATTCGATTAAATATTTTTATTAATTTAAAAATAATTTTATAGGCTTCAACTTACCGCAGCTCCAACCGATAGTGCGAAAGTACCAACCATTTCCAAAACAGGAAAATCTCCGCCCTGTAAATGAAATGTAATTCTAAGTTTTCATAATCTCGTTATAAATTAAAATTTATTAACCAAAATTTGAATTTTGCACCGAGATTTAAATAAAAAATAGAGAAATGTTGAGATATAATATTTCGAGAATATATTATAATAATTAGTCATCAAATATATCTTATCCATTTGATAATATTAAATTTATTTAATTAATTTATATATTCCAATTCTATTCCTATTTTTTATTCTTAGGGTTAAAAATTGGTAAAAGAAAAAGAGGGGAAAATACCTTGAGTTGCCAGGAGAATCTGTAATAGACAGCGATGGCGGCCATGGACGTGATCCCGAAGCTCGACACAATTGCAGCGACAAGATAAGCATCTCTTTCCGCTTTCTTCCTCACCATTTTCTCCTCCACGATTACCTTCAAATCCTTAACTATTTCAACTTCACTCACGCCACTTTTCTTCTTCACCGTCGACAATCTTCTCGTGCTCTGTTTTGCAAAGCACCGCCATGGAACACGGTTCGCCGGAGGTGGAGCTTTCGCCGGTCGTTGAATTAATCTCCGGTACGGCGCCGCGGTTGCAACGGCCGAGATCCCCGTCGCCATGAACGCACGCCGGCGAGCTTCGGATTGGATTGAGGATCGAGTCGAGAAGAAATTGGAAAGGAACAAAAAGTGGTTTTAAAGGGATTTGAGCTCTTAGGCGGGGGTTGCGTATTCAATGTAAATCAGCTGTTAAGATTCGTCGTTTTTGGTATGTTCGTGAAATTACCAAAATAACCCTTTTCATTTCGTTTAAATACTATTTTAGTCCATGTACTTTTCCGTCTTTTTCGTTTACATTTTTTTCCATCAAAATTTTAGCATTTTTGCAAATATGGATCAGAATCGTCACGTTTTGAAATTAACGTGACCAAAATGAAAATTCGGAAAGTGTAGGGACTAAATGAATAAAGGTTAGAAACCCTGAAACACAAAGCCGGGCTAACTAGCGAGTAGTTTCATAAACTAGTCGGTCACTAGGTTAAGCAGTATATTCTTTTGATTCAAATGCACCTCAATACTTCCACCTGCCATCTGCCGGCCAAGTAGTGTCCTGGGTTTGATTAGATTAACCAGCTACCAATTTACCGAACAAATAGTTAAGGAAGGGCCTAGAGATTGATAGAAGAATTCAGTCGAAACTTGACTAAAAAGGGCTTGTGTTCAATTCCTCGGGTTGCTGGTTGGAAGAGATTGCTTTCTGTCGTCTATTTTTCCCTTCGTGATGTTCTCTTAGCAAAGTATGTTCAAGTCACAATTTTGGTTTGCTCCGAGCTAGGAGGGACCATTGTGTTTTGTTAGTTTTGTCAAATGTTAATTTAAAGTGGTGTAGTTTCATCTTGTTTTATGTTCTTCTTTTAGGCATTAGGCATTGAGTGAACTTACGAATTTACCCTTATACTTCTTATGGGAATTGTACATTATTGCTTTCGGTGTACGTACCCTACTGTCTTTTTAATTTCTTTTGTATGTGTGTGTGTATATAAGGTGTTCGGTTAAGTCTAGCAATGAGCATAATCCTCGTGTTTAGTTGCCAGCTTGGACAAACGTTTCAAAACTATTTTTGAAGTAAAAATCTTAGAATGAATAAATAAGACCTGAAATAGTGTGTACCGTGACTTGGAACAAAGCTAAAACTCGAACACCGTCACACCATTTAATGTCATCACTATACTCATTTCAGATCTAAATTTCTATCCAAAATTTTAATGGCTTTCTACTCTGAGGCAGTTTTGAAACATTTATAAAAGCTCAAATGCAATATTGCAACTTTTAAAATGAATAAAGGGTAATTTTGTACTTTAGCTCCAAGAACATGGGAGTAATGCATACAACTCGATCGATCTTGTTTTGGACAGACCAAAATTGAAAATGTGAATTGAACAATAGGACTTTGTTTGGTTCCCTGTATTAAATCACCTATGGTTTTAATTAACCAAACCATAAGCTTAACTTACGTGATTTGGTTAACCTATGGTGTAACAGTCAAAACTCACTGCTAGCAGATATTGTCCTTATAAGTTTTCCCTTTCGAGTTTCCTCTCAATGTTTTAAAATGCATCTGTTAGGGAGAGATTCTCACACACTTATAAGAAATGTTTTCTTCCCCTCTCAACCAATGTGGGATCTCACAATTCACCCTCTGGAGCCTAGTGTCACGATCATGCTCGTCTAGGGCATGTCGTCCATGGCCGTATACCCATGCCAAGCCAAACCCTTTATGTTTTTCCATGTTGTAATGCTTTTCTTTTGTATTCCTAAGAGAGTATGACGTTTCAACAAAATCATGTCTAGGCCTGCGAGACATGAAACGCCTCAAAATATGGGGAGATGACTAGTGGTCAACTTCTCCCTACCAATAGGTTATACACTGAGTCATTGTTATTGCCTTTTTGCTTGCATATATAACACAAATTTCAATTTCTCATATCTTACTTTCAAAACCTCTCTCTGCCCCCGTTTTCTCAAACTTTCTTCTTGAACCGAGGCTAGAAGCTCAAGCATAGACGACACAAGAATAAATTAGCTTAACTCACTTATTGCTGAGAAGTGAGTGTCGCACAATTGCAAATGGGATTGTGACACTCAACGTACCCACTGGCACATCGGCCAATGTCTGGCTCTAATACCATTTGTAACAGCCCAAACCCACCATTAGCAAATATTGTCCTCTTCAAGCTTTCCCTTTCGGTTTTCTCTCAAGGTTTTAAAACGCGTCTGTTAGAAAGAGATTTACACACCCTTGTACGAAATATTTCATTCCCCTCTCCAATTGATGTGAGATCTCACGTATGGTTAGAATTTACCGAAGGACATGAGAAGCAATAATTCAAAAGATTAGGTACCAAGTTAAAAATATGATATAACATAGGGGTATTAACATAAGATGAAAAGATGTGATTAGAATCTGCAGATTGATGAACACACAATGAAGCAAATACAAAGAAAACGATATCTATAACAATACACCCTTAAATTTATTTCATAAGTTCATTAAGATCCATGGAAAGTACAAGCATCCACAATCCTTTGCTCCAAAATCTCCCAATACCTAATACTCCGCTCCATTTTTCGATTCGTTTTTCGGGTCGTTCGTTCTTAGTTTCTTCGAATTCGTTCATTCATATGGGTAACCATACAAGTATTACTGCTGTTCTTATCTACTTGATCATGACAGTAAATCCTATTCAGGGAAAAGAAAACAAGTGTTCAGTTTCAAGCATCTAGATCACCTTAGACGCAAAGAGTCGTCCTTCTGCCTGATTCGTCGGGGTTGAACCGGACGGATTCTTTCCAGATGAGTTCTTTAATATGCTCTTCAGTGCACGACGGTTGCTCGAAATCGAAACTGAAGGGCCTGACACAGACTGGCTCGTCGTTGATGTCGTGAAGAGATTGCAAGTATGGATGACAAAGTGCCTCCTCCACTGCAAAAGGGTACAGAGGTATCACATATTTGATGAAAGATCGAGATGTTTTCGTGGTTAAAGTATGAACGGTTTTCGCAGACCTGTAATGCGTTTGTTTGGATCGAATACGAGCATCTTTTCTAGAAGATCAAGAGCAGCTGGAGACATGTTGGGAAATCTAGCTGAGAATTGTTGTTTCCTGTACTGTGGAAGCTGCTTGACGTATCTTCGAGCATTATCGCTTCGGAGAAATCCTAGGCTGGCGTCATCCGGTGATCCTAGTAGCTTTTACGTTGGAAAACAAAGAAATGATCAAATAAATACGGGACAATATGCATGCTTTTTCTTTTTCATCAGCAGGAATGAAGAGCTAAAATACTTTTGAAAACGTCACGGTCGATAAAAACGACAACGAGAATCAAGATATCACAAGCACAAAAAAGAGATTTTCAGCGTAAATAAGATGTCAAACATACAAGATGGTCATTTAGCACCACCACCATTGAAAAACCACTGTTATTTACGAATATGATCGAGTCAGCCTTGATATAGAACGGAGAACGAGCACTCAAAACCCGGAACACTGTGATTCTCCCATAGGCTTCTATCTTGTTGTCCGCTTTGGCCCGTTCCCGCAACTCCCATCATATGAAATGGGTTCAATGTCCAATTATGAAATCCTTGGAAAAAGAGGATACGTATCGCCGTCAGCCTCACGGTTCTAAAGTATGTCTATTAGGGAGAGGTTTCCATACTCTTATAAAGAATGTTTCGTTCCCCTCTCCAACCAATGTGGGATCTCACAATGTACCCTCTTGGGGGCCAGCATCCTTGCTAGCACACCACCCAGTGTCTGGCTCTAATACCAATTGTAACAGCCCAACCCCACCGCTAACAGATATTGTCCGCTTTGGTCCGTTACGTATCGTCGTTAGCCTCATGGTTTTAAAGCACGTCTGTTAGGGAGAGATTTCAACACTCTTATAAAGAATGTTTCGTTCCCCTCTCCAACCAATGTGAGATCTCACAATCTACCCTTTTTGGGGGCCCAGCATCCTCGTTGGCACGGTGTTGGGCTCTGATACCATTTGTAACAGTCCAAACCCACCGCTAATAGATATTGTCCGCTTTGGCCCGTTACATATCGTGTAAGCCTCACGTTTTTAAAGCGCGTCTATTAGGGAGAGGTTTCCACACTCTTATAAAGAATGCTTCGTTCCCCTCTCCAACCAATGTGAGATCTCACAATCTACCCTCCTTGGAGGCCCAGCATCCTCGTTGGCACACGGTGTTGGGCTCTGATACCATTTGTAACAGTCCAAGCCCACCGTTAACAGATATTGTTCACTTTGGCTCGTTACATATCACCTAAACCTCACAGTTTTAAAGCGCGTCTGTTAGGGAGAGGTTTCCACACTCTTATAAAGAATGCTTTGTTCCCCTCTCCAACCAACATGAGATCTCACAATCTACCCTCCTTGGGGCCCAACATCCTTGCTGGCACACTACCTAGTGTCTGGCTCTAATACTATTTGTAACAACTCAAGCTCACTGCTAACAGATATTGTCCGCTTTGACCTGTTACATATCGCCATCAGCCTCACAGTTTTAAAGCGTGTTTGTTAGGGAGAGGTTTCCACAGTCTAATAGAGCATATTTCGTTCCCCTCTCCAACCAATGTGGGGTCTCACAGTTTGGGATAAAAATTTAGTTCCTCTCATCAAACATTAAACATCAAATTTTCCAAACTATGAAAAGAGTTGAACACAAGAACATGAACTCCTATAGGTATTAAAACTTGTACCTCAGTTATAAGTCTGAGTTGATGAACATAATCTTTTCCAGGGAAGAGAGGTTCTCTGGTCATGATCTCACCAAGAATGCATCCGACAGACCAAACATCAATAGCAGCAGTGTACTCCGAACAATTGAGCAGCAATTCCGGTGCTCGGTACCAACGAGTAACCACATATTCAGTCATGAAGTCGGTTTCAGAAGTCGTTCTTGCTAATCCAAAATCGCCAATTTTAAGGTCGCAATTTGCATTCAGAAGCAGGTTGCTTGGCTTGAGATCACGGTGCAGGACCTTGGCTGAATGTACATACTTCAGCCCACGCAATAACTGATACAAAAAGTACTGCAAAGTGCATAACATGTCAGTTTAATGGTGAGTTTAGCTTCAAAGACAAGGCTAATGAATAATGATTCTCTAAATATGAACGGCCCGTCATCCATACG